CTTTAAGCTTTCTCAAATTGATGTCTTGCATGACCATTGGGGATGTTACTTTAGAGAAAAGAATATTAATATTTCATAACCATTGTGTATTAATAGTATTCGTATGAATGATTGGTAATCACAAGGAAATCAAATTTAGAGTTAAATAGAAAAATAACATAAAGGATTGAATGAGAAAACCTATATGCCCTAGGTTCTTCTCCGATAAGTTTAATCAAGGCGTGCAGTGTATTCCTTGCTCTTAGTTTTATAATTGATTTTATAAATTCTTTGTTTTAATTAATTTCGTATCCTTGAAGCTTAAACAATTGAATTAGAAAATTCTTAGTAATTGAAAATCAATCCTTATGGGACGATATTTTGGGAACTTAATTTAAGAACCCTTTATTACTTCTCGATGGGTACACTTGCCCTCCGAACAATGATAGTTGTAACGTCCAAAATTTTAAATGTCTGTTTTATGCTATTAATTGATTTTCTCGATTAATTTACATGAATAAGGTTAATAAGACATTAATTGAATATTTATTAGAATTCAAACTTATGTTAATTAGGTAGACTAGAATTAAAAATTTATAGTAGAATTTTCTCTTAGGAGAGAGACCAGTATAGTTTTAGTAATTTAAATTACCATAATAAAATATATTATTTGCCCTAGATCCAATGGTGGGGAAGCCATCCACCACACCTTGATCCAATGGTTCATAATCCACCTTATGGCTCATTTGAGACCACAAAATTTATGAACCAATCAAAATTTGTCAAGTAACTCCATTCATCATGACCACTTGGATATTTTGCTTTCCCTCATCTCTTTATAAAATTGATCACTTCTCTCCCTCATTCTCTTCTCCATCTTTCTCCTTTTCTTACCTCCATAAGCTTTTCTATCAAGCTCACCTACACTTGCAACTTAGAAACATCTTTGGAATGAAATTGGTGCTCAAAGGAGGTAGGGTCTATCTATGTTGATATGCTTATATGGATGTGTGTGCCTATCTATTTCATGTTTTAAATCTTTTAATACATGATATATGTGGTGTTTTTATGATGTATAGTTGGATTAATGGTGGTTTGGGTTAGTTTGAAGGTAGATCAAGTAGAAAAACAAAGAAAAGAAAGAAAATAGCAAGTCTGAAAACAGAATTTTCTAGGGTTTCCGTACAAATACACTATGTTGACCAATTATTTACATTTTAAATATTATTAAAATATTTTTAACTTAAACTAGACATCCAGAGCTTTCTATACATATAAATTATTAAGCAATTGGATTAGTATAGAATTAGTTATGAATTTTTGAAGTTTGGGTTAAGTTTCAAATTTTGATTTTGGGCAGGTATGCTTGCGTAAGACATAATTCGTTCCACATAACTTGGATTGAGGTGAAAAAAAATTTGTTAAAAATCTACAATATAATAGTTTATACCATAAACATTTCACAATCCAATTTTTTTGAGCAGTTCCCAGAATTTTTCCGAAGTTACCCCTAGTGCTATTGCGTAAGAAACAGAGCAACCTATAATAACCAACTTTAGAACCTTATAACTTGAATTCTATTTAACCAAATGAAATGAAAATTTTTGGATATTAAAATTTGATTTCTTAAATTTAAAATGACATGAATTTCACAGTTATACACTAAGAATTAGAATTTTGGTGGATTTTAACATTTTTGAGTGCTGTTCTGGCTAATTACAGGACAGGTCATAGTAGAAAGCAAAAATCTTGAGTTGTATTTGTCAAAACTGAATTGGACCAATTAGGTTAGAAAATAGACAAATAGGGCTTCAACATATAAAAAATTCAGGTCTATTGAAGTCATATAGCAATAAACGTAGTAAAAATAAAATAAGGCAAAATTTATCACTTTAAGGAAAGAATTATGAATTTAAAGGTTTTGTTTATTTATTTATTTATTTGCTATGATATGTGAATGATTGTTTGTTAGCTGGCACTATTCATTGAAAAGCAAATATGATCTGTTATTCTACACATATTTTGTAAGAATTATGGATAAATTGTAAAATTTCAAAGAGATATGTGAGATACAATATGAGAGTTATGAAAGTTTAAGATGATTAAAGTTATAAGAAAGTCCTAAATCACTTGGGCTAGCCCCGGATAAATAATTAAGGGGAATAAGTCGGTGAGAGTGTTGGGGAAAGTAAACTTGACAAATCCTGTATAGGAACGAGCTCGATCCTGATAAGCAGACTATTACACAGGAGTCGTATGGCCAAGAACTCCCATGGGACCAAGGATAGGAACATATATGAAAATTAAGTACCTTATTATGTGATTGAAAGTATTTTAATTAATATTAATGCATTTCAATGTTGCTTTTAATTAAAACTTTAAATACTATTATGTCACATGTATGATTCATGTTGAGTCCTTTAATTATTTATTTAATTTCTTGTATATGTGTATCATAATCATTATGATCTTGTATATTACAACTATTAGACATAAAATTTACTTTGGTTCGGGCCATGTTTTCAATAATCATAATGGAAAAATTTCCTTATTGGTTTAACAACCTTTTATTTAAATAAAAATCGAAGCAACTGAGAATGAAAGCGATGTCACATAGAAATACACAGCCCCACTGAGAAATTTTAAAATTCTCATCCTACTTAGTTTCCGTTTCATTCTCAGATATGCATGATGAACGCAACAACAATGATCTACATTGAGTTCCCGGATGTGCAGTGGGCCACGATAGTAGTTGTAGGACAACCTTGGTTCTAAATTGTTCGGTGAGAACTTGTTAGGACTGCACTTTGATGACATTGAGCCACTGATCTTTTTGTATGTAGTGGTCCTTATATGTATTCCTGATTATATGTAAATAACATGGTCTCCTATATATATAAATATGTATGGTTATCTTTCTGTAACATGTATGAGTTAAATTAATTACTATGTTTATCTAGATTATTCCATATTCAATTTTCTTTTATTTTTGTTATTATAACGTCTCGCTCTTTTATACATCCGATAAATACTACTAAATCAACACGAAATGAATGAGTGGAATAAACAAAATTCTTATTACTGTAATGCAACTACTGTATTTAGTAATTATGACTTAAGCATAAACTAAATTCAGCAGGGTGTTACAATAGTCGTAGGAAATCTCGCTCAGGTGTGATTGAACATTTTAGACCAGGTGATTTCAGAGCATTCTCGCTGAAGCGAATAAAGTTGCCCTAACTTTTCTTTTGCCAAGTGAGATAGAGCTCACTCAGGTGAGGAATGGTAGAAAAAATGAGTAGCTTTCTAAACTTTTTCTTGCTTAGGTGAGAATGACTTTGCTCAAGCAAGAATATTAGAAAAATGAAAAAATTCCTCTGTCTAGTTTTCTCATATAATCGAGAAGGGCTCGCCTAAGCGAGGATGTCATTGTTTAAGTGAGAGCGCGCAATATTTGAGGGGGGTATTTTAGGGATTTCAACTTAGAAAACTTGCATTACAATCCAAGAATGATATTGTGTGTGTTTCTTGTTCGTAGATATGTGTTGAGTGGAATTAGTTATTTTGGTGAAATATGATTTTTTTTTTCTTAATGACTTAAATGAGATGTTGTATTGAATATATATGTATGTATATTTTGGATTGAGTTTGGAGGTGTTTGACCTTCGGCATGATTGACTGATATATGGTATAAATAATGGACTTGAATAAAATAGGAAAAGAAAAGGATGAAAGATATGTTATCATCAAAGTGCAAGTTTAGGTTATGATGAGAAATGGAAAAGAGTATAGTCATAATGAGAAATGAAAAGTGATAAGAATAAGTATGGATAGTTTAGAGATATACTGGCGATGTGGAAGATGGAGATGATTTTAGAAATCTTGTGAAAATGAAGATGGTGGATGTTTTTCTTTGATTTACACATAACTAATGAGAGTAAAAGCATTATAGGCCTCACACTTATTCCCTAACCTAAACTCTAATCATACTTTTGCTAAAAGGAGCTGGGTAAGCACACGTTGTATTTGTGTTAATGAACAACTATCTATACTAAGGAAAACCTCAAGGGATCATAGGGTGAATGATTGAGATAAGGAATTCAGGAATGTTATAAGTGACAGTAGAATGAAATTATGAGATTAATGAATGTTAAATGTATATGAAATTGATGTGAAATGTTTGTCATTTTTGAATGTTTGGTGTGTTATTTATTATGTGTGACTTGACATTGTTATTACTCATGTTTAGTAATGAGAAAAAAGGCTCATCCTTACAAAATATTTCAAGGAAGCAAGACAACCACTCCCTAGAGAAACATTAGAGTAGAGGAAGGATTTATAATTAATAGGTTACATTTTGTATTTAGGGAGTGGCAGTGGTTTTGTTATTGCAAGTTTACTATAGATTATAATGATGAATTGGGTAATGTATTTACATACACTCAGCATGTACATATATTGAGGAATGGTTCAAATACCAGGTGCAGTGAAGTGCTTGTACACTTTTCTCGATAATGACCATATAGGAAGACCCACTCGGTTCACCTTCGAACGAGTGACTGGTACTAAGGTGGTGGCAAATATGGGTGATCTTTGCGAGGATGAGGATCTGTCCTCGGAGGAGTTAGTTGAGATAGAGGGTTGGCATGGAAAGGATGACTAGGATTGTCCTTAGTATTTTGGTGTGGAGATATCTGGTCATTAGGATTAAGTTATTTTGATTTTTGTAAATGATGTATATGAGCCCTAATTTATTTTGAAATTATTTGTAATTATTAAACTCTTATATACTAATGAAGCTGGTATACATGTATTTTATTTTAGTTTAAATTTAAATTTATTTATTTCTTATTTCTTTACTACTTGAATATTTTATAAGCTTGAGTAATAAGATGAAGGCTCAAAATTTTATTTAATTTTGCTTTATGAATATAAGAAAAATTATTATTTTTCTCTTTTCAATATAGAACTATTTCACAAATTGTATTAATAAAATAAGGATGTTACATCTTTTTTCTATCCTATGCAACCTCAATATTCTCTCTAATCATTTTGACTTGGTCGTTCTGCTGCTGAACCAAATCTGATGCATATAGAATTGCTTCTTTAGCTTTGTACCAACATAGGGGTGTTCTGCACTTCCTTCCATACAATGCCGTATATGGTACCATTCCAATACTAGCGTGATAACTGTTGTTGTAAGTAAATTCTACCAAAGGTAGACATTCGTCCTAAACTTCGTGCTGCTCCATCACGCAAGCTCGTAGTAAGTCCTCCAGAGATTAGATAGCTTGCTCCATTTACCTGACAGTTTGGGGATGATGAGTAGAATTCAGTTTCAACTTGGTTCCCAAGGCTCCTTGCCGACTTCCCCAAAACTTTGATGTGAACTTTAGGTCTCTGTTTGGCACAATGCTCATACGCTGATGTTCCGCTTTTGACTTTTGGCAGGTTAAGCACTTCTCAACATATTTGACTACTTCTTTCTTCATCCCATATCGCCAAAAACTCTTTCGTAAGTCTTGATACATCTTTGTTGCTCTTGGATGAAAACTCAACTTACTCTTATGTGCCTCATCTAGTATCATCTCTTTTAGCTATTCATTTTGAGGAATACACACTTGATGTAACATATGTTAGGTTTACATTTATAATTTTATTTTGATTTATAAACACTTTTAATATGCTTTATTTTTAGAGTTTTTACCATTTTCTACTTATTTGAATAAATTGGGCTTATTACAAATAAATGCTTTAATTTTATATTTTTGGTTATTTTAACCACTGACTACTCTTTCAGACATAACTTTTTCTATAGATTTCGTTTCTAGCTGATTTCACTTGAATTAGATTCTACACATCCAGGAATTCAAAATGCATATATGGATCGCTGGATTTGGAGTTGTTTTTTTTTATTTTTTTTATGATTTTTTGAAGTTTAAGTAGATTTGCTGAATATTGTTGCGAGATTGCATTTGGACCCTTTGTTATTAGATAATTGTATTTGGTCTTAAAGTTATAATTAAGGCTCAAATTTTGGCCATATAGTTTACCCTAATTAAAACCTATAAATAAACTAATAAGGTTATGAATTAGGTAAGATGTGTGATTAGACACTTTGAGTTTTTGAGATTTGCACGTAATAAAAATCCTTATTTTTTTACCTTCTCTCGAATTCTCTCATTCTCCTCTCATTCTTGCTTCAGTTAAGTGCTTCGATGGAAGGATAAACTTCCCGTTCAATCCATAGAATCTAGATGCTGTAAATCCAATTTGAGTTTTGAGGCAAATTGCTCCGAGTTTGTTATTTTTTTTCTCTAATCTTAGATTTATATATTGCGATTATGATTAACTTTTCTGTGGTTAGAATTCAAATTAGGACTCGATTGATACTTTGATTTGATAATTAATGCGGATTAGGTTAAATGATGATTTGATTTAATTCGTAACTTTATTCAATTAAGTTATTCGGTTGAATTAATAATTGAATCGGGTGATTGTTCAAGCGTTGATTAAAATCTTTAGGTACTATGATAATCATAGTTACACAAATTTGGTATTTTGTGGATTAATTTTCTTAAATTTTTTTACTTAATTTTATTTTGTTCATAATTCAATTTAATTAATTTATAGTTGTCGAACTCCTAAAATTTACTCAAATTTTTAAAGAACCTAAAACTGAATTTAATGAACCCGTAAGGTAGAAAACAAGTATTATTATCAAGATAAACACACCCAACGCATGGAAAATGAAAACTATATTAATGAACTAAAATACTTAGAAAGTTAAGATTACATCCAATCTCCTATGAAGTTCTAGCCACTCATAGTGTACCAAATAACAAGAAAATACATGGAAAGAGGATAGAAATTAGCCCTCTAATGGTGTAGTCACTCTCCCATGCTTCTTCTCTTGTTCTCCAATCTGAAAAGCCCACTTAGGTCTATGAATGAACTCCATTCTTGTGCATGAGCTCTTAAAATTTAGGGCATTTATTGAATTCTAGCTCAAGCGAGAACTTCATAGAGGTGCGTTCGAGCTCTAGTTGGTATTATGCTAGATATGACATGAATTAAGAACAGATTTAAGAACTTGAATAAAATGAGTTCATAGCCATGAGTGTCAAAGTTGTAGAGGCGTGGAAGAAGAAGATATGGAGGAACGGAGAGCAGAGAGCAGAGTAAGTCTTGACAGGTGGAAGAGGAGGAAAAACATACAATCTATCCCTAAGTATGCCTTAAAGAAGGATCTCCTTAGTATCCTAATGTTTAACATTATAAAAACTAGGATAAAATTCAAAGAAAACATAATTATCAATGGCAAACTTAGAAACACTTAACAATTTTTGGAAATAGAAGGCATATGAAGTAACTGATTAATGATAAATCATTTTGAAGAGTTAGAAATTTGAAACTTTGTTTTACCAGCATGAATAATTAACAATTCTATGCCATCACCAATTTTAACTGAATCTAAACATGTGTAAGGTGATTTGATAGTCATATTGCCATCATTATTGGTGATATGATGAGATGCTCCATTACCCAGGTACCACAAAGGATCAGCAGTGGTGGAATGAATAGCAAGACTTGGTGTGTGTGACAAAACAGAAGCTTGACCAAGATGTTAAGATACATTTGCTTAGGGTGTTCCCTGAATTTCCTAATTATACCTATGCCTACGATCAGTAGCCAAATGTCCACTCTTACCATAAATTTCATAATATGTCCTTTATTTACCCCAAGAATTATGTGGAGAAGGATTCTAGTTATTTCAACTACGACCTCTACCAATATAGCTTCACCTCCTCTTTGAGAATGAAGAACTCCTCTAGGAGTAAAGGTTCTACCTCTATTCGAATAGCCTCCTCTATCATCCCTATTGGAATGTTGGAAATTGGATGGCCCTGAAGCCACATTTGCATGAATCCACAATTTTCTTTATGTCAGTTAGATAGTCATTAATGGAGGGATCTTTCTTGGCCATTCTTAATTGTGATTTCAGCTTCTTGATCTTTGCACATGTTTGTAAAGTGTAATGAACTTCTAATCGATTCCAAATTTGATGAGCATGAATCAATCCTATGATGTAGTGGTTCGAGGAAAAATGAACAATGGAAGAATTGAAACAAAAGGGATTCCAATGAAAAGAATGAGAACCCAATAATTGTATTGATTGAAGGAGAAGATACAAGGGAATTTCTTACACAAACTGAATGCTAATCAATTATTTTTGTTATCCAGCTATATATAGTTGGTTCATAACTAATAATCCCAACTAACTCCTATTTTTTTGGGACTTAACATAAAATGTTACCTAACTCACTTACTAACAATATTTGTATAGAAAACTCATAATTCACTAATATCCTGCATCATCCTACCATCTTTGTCAAGATAGGTGAGGTCATGGAAACCAGCAGCTAGGCAATGATAAGTTGATCTTGTTATTCGTGATTAACATATTATGCATTGATTTTGCCTTTAGTCTCGTCATTTTGATTTTTGTATTCTGCTGAAAGATGCATTATCTTTGAGAAATTTGGTGAGTTTCAAGCCGCAGAATGTAGCAGTAACTTGTTATCTTCAGATAAGGAAATTATCATTATCTAATTTTAGGGTTAGTGGTGTTTGGAAGGTGTGTGGGGTGAAAGGGGTGGTGGTTGTGTTTGCGTAAGCCATGGCTAAACTTCTCAAGCTCTTGATACCATATTGGAGTTATTAGGTAACAACTGACAAAAAGTAATGCAAAAGAAGATTGTATTAATTTGTGTCTCCAAAAAGAATATACAATTTGCTATATATGAAGGAGGTTACATGATCAACTAATTGGATCACCTATAACTAACTGGCTTGACTAATTTGTACTCTTAAAAACAAAAGATCAAGACGTGAAGAATGTGTAGTTTATTCTTATTCTTAGGAATAAGAATTTTCCAAAAATGAAGAGAAATAAGAGGCTACTATCAATATGGAAAAACTAGGTAATAACTTACCTGACTTAAATTTTGAGGAAATAAAAGAAGCACACATTTACTTTATAACAGAAACTGATTCAAACAAAGAGGTAAATAATGAACATTCTAAATTATAAACAAAGTTGAAGTATTGAAAGATGAGAATTGTGAGTTGCAAAAAAAAAAAAAACTACTTAAAGAAGACAAAAACTTTAGTAAGAATTAATCATATGGTAAAGTTATTAAGCCTTAAAAGAAAATTGATGAACTAACTAAGGACATTTCCATCTTTGTTAGTGGAATTGATAATCTAAACAAGATTCAAAAACCCAAAGACACCTAGGTGATAAAACTATAATAGGATTTGTTACTAATATTTCACAATAGTTGGAATACTGTGATATTAACTATACTAGAGACATAATAAAGAGAAAAAGAATCGAAGAAAGATGTCATTTCATTGAAGCAAATCTTATATCATAGTCAAGCACAAAACACAACAACACTATAGTTCTATGAAAAGCAGAAGCATAATACATATCTATAAAGGATCTTATTCACGGCTTCTTTGAATAAAAATCAATTATAAGATTATGATATACAAAAATGAGATTCACATTGTGTCTAATAATACTATTACTGTTAACTTGTTAAAAAGTCTTATTCAGTATTCACATGTCAACGAAATTAAAGCAAAAGTTATTTAACCAAAGATAAAGCCATTAACTGAAGAAAGATTTAGTTTAATTAGAGATCATCTGAACATGATTTCTCTTAAATTGACATAGTATCAATTTAAGCATGCATCATCTGTATCCCCTAATCATCTGATCTTAGCTATATATCATTTGATATATGTGGCAATATTTGTGAGATAAATGTGTTTCAAAAATTCATACGTTTCTAAATTTTCAAATCTTTTTTATCTTTTCTTTATTACATCATTATTTGCAACGTTTCCTTTCTTTATATATATCTATATGAAAAAGATATCATGTAATGAGCAAAATTTTTATTTGCACAAATGATACTTTAAACTTGGAAGGAACATGAAGAAATTAATAATACTTTTGTATCTTTTGAGTTGTTCAGCTAGATCGGTCGCTTAAGACTTTTCATCTCCACCCGTTGAGAATAATTATGTCTTGTTCATGGGTTATCTATAATACACACACACACACACACACACCTGCTTATTACTCTATGCATTAAATTTTGAAATGTATAAAGTCATTTTTATATACGTGACTCCACCTACTTATTACTTTATGCATTAAAATTTAAAATGTACAACTTACGAATTGAAATTATATTTTATTGCATTCAAATTTGGAACCTATAAAGTCACTCCTATTGACTGTACTTACTTATTACTCTATGCATTAAAATTCGAAACGTATACTTACAAATTGAAATTATATTTTATTCATACTTATTATCTTTAAATTGTATTTAAAGAATGTTTATTAGAATTGATGGTTATATTATGTTACAAACGGCAATCTTAAATTACCATTTATTAAAATTAATTATAATACTTTTAATGATTTCTCAATTAAAATTATATCTGATTC